CAAGTGCCTTACTAGTAGTAGGTAGGTTGGAGAAGTGATGTTGTAGATTCAACGGGCGTCCATTGAGACAACCCGCGCATCGACGGCGACGCACCCGGTTTCTGCTGCCAGGCACCCACCAGTAGAAAGTGCTCAGCACCTGCATGGGTAGGTTTGTGTAGGTCGACCAATCTTTGGCAACGGCTGGTGCCAATGGCATATTCCAAGCCGTGGCCTTTTGCATAGTTTCTTCCTGAGGTGGACAAACTCTAGCAAAATTGATCAAAATAGGTCAAAACAGTATCCTAATATGTTTTCTTACAACGCAAATACAACAACAAAGAAAACAAAAGGATCGCTTCAACGGGCCAGCTTCATAGTTCCAGCCATTTCCTCCTGTGAAGAATGGAACGCACAAGGAAGTATCCTCCTTAGCGAAGGCACTCGTCTTTTCGCTGACTTTTGTTTTCCCTTTTCTTATTTTTTTGTGACATCTTGTTCCGGTTTTCTTCTTCGTTTTCTACCTTTAGACCTCCACAACTTCGCTGCCCAAGCTTCACGGCAGGACGGCGGGTACCAGAAATATTCTTGAAAGCATTTCCCCCGTACTTCTCGCCCTGTTGGCCCAGTGATGATCTCCACCCCGTCCCAGTCCCCAGTGAGGTTTGCATAGAACTCCATGGCCTGGCGACAGATCCGTATTGCTTCGGTCCAGCGCCCTAGTCGCCTCTTGTTCCTAGCGATGCCCTTTGCCTGGGAAATCATCATTCTCGTCTCATTGCAGCGCTTGAGCAAACTGGTGTCCTTGACGAGTCCGAAGGCTGCGAAACGTCGAGAGTGAATCCAAAGGGAGCTATACAGACTTATCGGCAAGCTGATCGAGTGAGCTTGAAAAAGGTCCCACCAGTTGGTACTCACTAAAAAGATCTATACGTAGGGTTGGAGGCCATGGCTAGTAGGTTGGAGGCCATCGCTACTAGGTTGGCGGCCATTGCTTCTAGGGAGGAGGCCATCGCTACTAGGTGGAGGCCATTTGGAGGCCATCGCTAGTAGGGTGGAGGCCAATCCCATTAGGTTGGAGTTGGAGGCCATCGCTATACGCATAGTCTACAGTCATACAAGTCTACGATTGTTCTTCAGCCCGAATTCATAAGCGCCATCCCAAGCGTCTATGACACTGGGCGGCTGAAAGTACCTGGAAGGAGTTGTCCAAGAGACATTGAAGCCACGATAAAACTCCAAGATCAAGCCTGCGACAGGAATTGAAACCAACAGAATCTGTGACTTGAGGTGTGTTGAGCAAGCTTTTCCCGCAACGTGCAGTCATATAGGGATGATGAGCCTTGTCATGGTTGGCCTGCCTACAAATACCAAAGCCAATAGCATGGCAACAAGCTTCATGTGGGACAAGGCTTGAGAAAGGGATCCGCCTTCGGCATTGTAAGCAGCCTCTTGCGCACTGGCAGGCAGAAACATGGATGTCTTCCCAAAGTAGCCTCAGACACAAACACACATTGGAAACACACATTGGTGTGCGGATTTCAAAGTAACATGCACAAGTGCAAAGTAAATTGGCAAGAGACCCATGTTTCCCAGATTTTCCGGAGCTGTTTCTGTGAGATCACGTTCAATTTCTGCCCATGTGGCAGCATAGGATTCGGTCCATCCCTCGACGCAAATGTGGTTGTAAGTTGTCGTTGGCTTCGGCTCACACCCACGGTCCTTCCCAAAAGGGTTGGATGCATTTGTAATGCATACTGATACTCTCTGCCAACTGCGGTAATTTCACCTTTACGGAACGAAATATAGTAGCCTTCGACTGCGTTTACCAATCGCTTTCCCACAACACTTCGACCTTCGATTTTTGAGGTGCGTGACTCAAAGACATGCACGATCCCCAAGCCTCGATGTTGGTCGGTGTGAGGCATCCGGCGAGCGCATAGAAGCCATCCTAAGGTCAAACGCTGGTCCATGAGATGGAAGCCCTTTGAAAAGACGGGACAAGTCTCAGTGGCGAAAGAATAACCTTCCGGCCTACTTCAATGACAAACATATAAAAATTCAGGAGCAAAAAGAGAAGAGAAGAACTAGAAGACAATTGGCGGAGGCCATGGCTATTAAGTTGGAGGCCATCGCATGCCATCGCTAGGTGGAGGCCATCGCTTCTAGGGTGGAGGCCATTCCTATTAGGTTGGGGCGCTGCGGGTCATCCTTTGCAGCTGAGCTTCCACGGTGTTCCACCCGGGCCCTTGCTCGATGGCCTTGAACCCAAGCCGTTCCTCCAACAAGATCCGCACCATGGACGCTGTGACAAACCCTGCTGGCCACCCATTCACCCAAATCCTCAACTCACAAATTCGGACGAGGCCATCGCTACTAGGGGCAAGGACGCTATTAGTAGCTCCTGGCATTACTAGTAGCAAGAAGCTACTAGGTTGGAGGCCATCGCTATCGAAAGAAAACAAATTGCAAAACCCGTTCTGCAACTGTGCACTTTAGCTTTAGGGAGCCATGTTCCAAGTCCACAACTGCAGAACGAACGGAATCCAATTCCAAAGATCCCAATGGGATAGGTTGCATTTCCATTAACCAGATTCTGCCGTTTCCCTTCAGGAACTGCATCGGCCAAGCATGTGGCTTCTTGAGCATAGAGCGGAAGAATCAGGAAGTCCAACGAAAGGCACAACAGGACCACTAGGATCAGCCTGTCTTGACAAGCCATGGCCCGGAAAATGTTGAACCTTTGCCTATCACATAACCGTCTGGAGCCAAGATGTGCACATGTCGGTTTCCGCTTCATGTTTGACGAAAACTGTACGCATCACATCCTCAATGTGTCACTTGGGGCATCAAACTGGCAGCTTTGCTACTTCGGGGCCTCCAAGCACATACACTTTGCTCAAATCCTCAGGCTCGTTTGTGCCAAGAAGCAACATCATCGCGAGGTAGAAATCTAGACATGACCAAGGTCCTGGCCCCGAAAACATTAGGCTTTTCAGAAGCCCAGATGTGTCAAACTAAGCTATTGGACAGGACATGTGTTTTCCCGTTTCGGTAGTGTTTCGGTTTGACCTTGCTGTGTCGCCAGCCATGCAAAGTCAGTGGACGCAACATTATCCTTGCCTAACCAGCGAAATGTGCTTTCTTTTCCTTGCTTTCTTTCAATTTTTGCCTGGAGGGATGGCTACTAGTGACGCAAACAGTTCCTGGATTGTTGGTTAAAAAACACGAGAACAAGATAGAACAAGTATATAACTCTAAGTATACCAACATATTTCACACTTCGTCATATGACAGAAGGCGGAGCGGCGTGTCGACACCCACTTATTCGGTGTTAGGTCGTGATCGTGTCCACGACTCCACTCTGAACCGAGAGTGTCTATCTGTCTGGAGGATTTGGCAAACAAAACTTGAATCCTTTTGGTATGTTTCTGCGCTTCTAGGTTGGAGGCCATCGCTAGTAGGTTGGAGATTCCCTTCGCTATTAGGTTAAAAGAAACCTACTTGAAGGTAACTCAGGGACCGCCAGCCCCAGACACACACTGAGAAAACACAGACACACCGAGACGGCCTTCTGCATCCACAGCGAGGCCGACGCTCACGGTTCGAGCCAAGAAACCAAGCGTGCATAGCAGGACAAGGCTTCATTCCAATGACGGATATCTCATGATATCTGCATTTCATTGTATTGCATTTTTTGCCTCTAGGTTGGAGGCCACCGCTATTAAATTGGAGGCCATAGGCATGAGTTTTTTCCCTCTATATCTTTATTCTTTCAAAAATGGTCTCTCTCCAGCGATGCCGTCTATCTCCTTTCCGCCAAGGCTCGGGACATCCAAATCGCCGAGGTCGCTCCCTTCGGGTTTGTCGTTGGAGTAGATTGGCAGATTGGCATAACGCTGCTCGTGCCATGGGATCTTCTTCCTGACTTCACATCTTCCACATGGAAACCATCTACGTTCTTGTTCTCTTTGCGACATAAATCCTAGTTTGTCTCAGCCGATGCTGACTCGAAGACTTAAGGTCTTGAGGGGAACCTTTGTCCGAGCACACAATCAGTCAAAGGACTGTCAAAGCACTATAGACTGAAGCTTTTAAAGAGCCATTATTAATATACAGTTTGCATCAGTTTGCTATTATATAGGTTGGAGGCTATCACTATTAGAAACACAGAATAATCAAAACGGCACACCTTTGCACCTCCAGCACCCCGACCGATCTGAAAGCCTCACGGTGTTTTTGCCACTTCCGCAGATGCAATCGACGACATCCACCAAGCAATGCGAAGTCTTCTGCACGAGAAATACCAAGACCTCGGCTCCCAATTTCAACACAACGCAACAGCTTCCAAAAATCCACAAAAACGGAAATTGACCAAGCAGCATCTGAACCTACCAAGACAAGAGCTGTGGTGAAGTTCCCACAGAAGGAGAGGGCAGCCCCCATGACCTCAAAGGACCGGAATCTCAAACCGATACCAACTCCAAGCTATCGCTCTTGGAGAATGACGATTTAAATCTTGCAGACTCCAGACTAACGAGATGACGATCTGAAGATCGTGCAGAATCTGAACTCTTGCTCCACACGATTCCACAGGATGTCTGTCATACTCCCAGTATCTCAACTCTCATCCCTGGACCGAGGTAGTGGATACTAGCTCCTACTAGCTACGAGAGCTACTAGATGCTACTAGTAACAAAGGGCATCGCTACTAGTAGCAAGGACGCTATTAGTAGCTCCTGGCCTTACTACTAGGAACAAGAAGCTACTAGTAGCAAGGACGCTCCAAAAAAGGAAAACAACAAGATCGTGTCATATCGTGCTTCTCGTTTCTATCATGTCGCTTCTCGCCTCCAACTGGACGAGAAGTGGTTGACTGAGCTTGAGACGAAAACTGCGGCGAGCGAGGAAAGACCATGCGGCTGCGCGTCGGTTGCCGAATCGAAGCAAAGCTGTGGGCTGTGCCGCTCACTCGGACATCGACAAAATTCAAATCCACAGCCGCACATGCCAGTGAGGACGGCTCAGGAGAGAGTAAAGACATCTCCGGGTCCAGGGCGTGTCCCTGGAAAAAGGCTCGGCGTGGGCGTCCTTCTGGGCACCTCTGGGGGCTCACCTGATTTGTTCAATGTTTGATTCAAGAGGTGTTCAACAGGTACATTATGTCCAGAATGTAGTGCATTTATGCACTTGTACCAGTTTGCTAGAAGCTTTTTACAATGTTAGTGGAACTGGTTGAAAAACCGGCCATAGGCCATAGGAAGCCACTGGCAATTAAAGTTCTGCATAGCTGGTGGCGCGATGTGGGTGCTTCCAAGCTTACAAGCAGAACAGCAAAGCAAGCAAATGCTTTATTTGCAGGGTCTAACTGTTTGTCAGCACTTGGGACGGAAAGCGAATGTTCTTCTACGTGTGTGGAGTCATAGAAACTCAGCGTTTCAGGATGTAGAAACTATCGCTCATTACTCAGGTATTGTTTTTCGTGTCTCTCTAAGCTGCTCCAGATGATAAATGCCAGCTTCTAGTAGCGATGGGAGCCCCTAGTAGCGTCCGATCGCTCCGTTCGTAGCTTCAAAAAATGGAATGTCTCGAAAGCACCTCGGCGATACGCTTCCGGCCGTCCTCCCGTGACCTCAACGGCCCAAAAGGCGCCGCTTCAAAGCGACCGAGCTGTCAGGCTCGGCTCCTCTCCATCTGGGCCTTCTCTTAGCCTCCAACCTAGTAGCGTCCTTGTTACTACTAGTAAGGCACTTGTTACTAGAAGCGATGCACTTGTTCCTAGTAGCTTCTTGCTACTAGTAATGCCAGGAGCTACTAATAGCGTTCTTGCTACTAGTCGCGACGCCCTTTGTTACTAGTTACTAGTAGCGATGGCCTCCAACCTAGTGCTCTCCATCCGAGTCTTCTCTTAGATTGTGTTTTTTGGAGTCTCGCCGCCCTAGGCCAGGTTATTCAAAATGGACTGCTGGAAAGAAGTTGCCTACGGCAAGTGCCTACGACAAACCGTGTCAAAATTCCTACGGGGACTCTACGCCCACAAGCAGAATACAAACGAGCCTATGCCAATGTTTGTATAAATCCCTTCACCGCAAACAACAAAAACTCTGCTCTGAGGATCTGGCTGTAGAAGCAGCCAAAACAACCTTTGAGGTCTTCAGGTCTTTCACCAAGAGGGGTTGATAGCTGTTCAGTTCAGCTCGCACATTCCTCTTCTGACTCCATGTGTAGACAGTCGATAGACATATCATGTGGAGGAAAAGATGGACGAACAATCTTAGTCTTCCCGTCTTCCCGACAATAGCTGTCCCACCCCACACCTCTGCGCAAGAGAAGCGTTGGGCCCGCACGCCTCATGTTAAAGCTTTGAGGAAACAGCAAAACATAGCAAAAACAGTAGAAAGAAGCTACTAGTAACAAGTGCATCGCTTCTAGTAACAACTGCCTTACTAGTAGTAACAAGAACGCAATAGTTTTGTTGTTTGCATTTTGGTTGGACGTATTGGGTCCCCACTTTGGACCTCGCATGGTCGCATCTGTACACTCTAGCCCACACCCTCCCATAATACAAGCAATTCTAGCTTTTCGATGATACTGGTTTAATCGAAAGACTCTTGAATAAGTATCTCATTGAATGCATTCATTATGAGTTTCCAATTTATAATTTAACACATGATCTTATTCCAAATCCTCAAGTGTTTTCACAAAGCCTCGGTGGCGTCCAGCTCGGCAGCCAGCACCTGCAAAGAGAGAGAGAGAGAGAGAAGTTCTTAGTTCTTTGGGTAACATCAGCATTTGCTTTGCATCGTGTTTTACGTTTTAATAAACACTAGATCCAAATTCAATTAATTTGCAATTCCAAATGGATGCTAAGTCTTCTTCTGCTTCTTCTTCTTCTGCTCTCTCTCTCTCTCTCTCTGGCTGACCCTTTTGAACATGCGAAGGCAAACGGCCAAGGCCAGTCATGCATTTGAGGAGTTTTTCGCTTCAGCTGAGCAGCCGCGGCTGTTTGAAGGTCGTTGCGGGCCGACCTTGAGACAAGTGACAGAAATTGTCTCCCACAGGGTTGGTGTTCAAAACATTACATAATCCGAAGAGCCTCTGTCCAACATGTTTGTGAGAGAATTGGGACTGTTGGCACTTACGGCCGGCTTGTCATCCTAAACCCCTTTGTGCTTTGTGCATCAAATATGAGATCAGTTCCTGATACCTTGACTATCCTGAACTTGTGTTCCTGGAGCCGCTGATAAAGGGGATAAACGATGATAAACGTCAACGGAATAGAAGCAAAGGGCCCGCTCCTTTCTCAGGGAAAAAAGTCTTCACGTTCAAGAAGCGACCTTTGAGAAGTTTCATGTAGTGGGCTCTCAATGGCTCTCATGAGCTACCTGAGAGCCTTTGTCAAACTGAATCCCTATTGGCCGCTCCATCAATCCCCCAGTCGGAATTAAAACGTTCAGCTCTCGCTCAGTTCGAGGCTCGGCTCGAGACTCCACCGGCTCTGTTAAGGCAGCTCCCGTGCTGCTGCCCTGGGCCGAAACAAAAACTAACCAGAAAGCTATGGCCTCCGGCCTGCCGGCGGTGGCCTCCAACTTAGCAGCCATGGCCTCCAACCTACTAGCCATGGCCGCCAACCTATAGTAGCGATGGCCTCCAACCTACTATAGCCATGGCCTCCAGCCTAGTAGCGATGGCTTCCAACCTACTAGCCATGGCCGCCAACCTATAGTAGCGATGGCCTCCAACCTAGTAGCGATGGCCTCCAACCTACTATAGCCATGGCCTCCAACCTAGTAGCGATGGCTTCCAAGCTTCCAACCTACTAGCTAGCGATGGCCTCCAACCTACTAGCCATGGCCGCCAACCTATAGTAGCGATGGCCTCCATAGCGATGGCCTCCAACCTACTAGCGATGGCCTCCAACCTATTCCTAGTGATGGCCTCCAACCTACTAGCGATAGCCTCCAACCTACCAGCGGTGGCCTCCAACCTAGTAGCGGTGGCCTCCAATCTACTAGCAATGGCCTGCAACCTACTAGCCATGGCCTCCAAGCTACTAGCGATGGCCTTCAACCTAATAGCGACGGTCTCTCGAATATATTTTATGTTCCAAAAATCGTTATGGTGTATGCTTCGGGGTCAATGAAGGGTTGGACCACAAATGCACGTCACAAAACCAAGATACTAGTTCTGTGGTGGCTTGCCCCACCAAACACCAAATACCAGTTTCTCAGTTGCTATGACTAGTGCGCAAGTTGCGGTGTTTTTCACACTTTCCCTGCTCAATTCCGAATTGAGTTCGATCGATTTTGGATTGTCCATGTCTTGCCGATGTTATGCAATTGTCCCGACGTTTTGTCTGCTTTTCTAGTAAGGCACTTTTCGCTAGTAGTAACAAGTGCCACGCTACTAGTAACAGGAGCCTTACTAGTAGTAACAAGAAGCTACTAGGAACAAGTGCATCGCTATGAATTCTTTCACACATGTCTTATTTCTCAAGTCTCCAATTCACAGGAGTGCAGTGAGGCCCCTGCTGAGGCGTAAAAACGCAGGCCGCTCTCTGCAGCACGAGACCACCTTGTGGAACTCTTAAGTTTGCACCATATGTTTGTTAAGCTTCTGGTTACTAGTAGCTTCTTGTTCCTAGTACGGCCAGGAGCCCCTAGTAGCGTCCTTGCTCCTAGTAGCGATGCCAGGTGTGCTAGTAGCTTCTTGTTCCTATGTTTGTCACAGAATGATAACCATTGTACTACTAGGTTGGAGGCCATCGCTCTTAGCTTTGGAGGCCATCGCTAGTAGGTTGGAGGCCATTCCTATTAGGTTGGAGGCCGTCGCTTCTAGGTAGGAGGTCATCGCTGGTAGGTTGGAGGCCATTGCCAGCACATTTGTCTCAACCCGTAGGTCACACAGCTAAGCACGAGTAACAAAAATATCTTGGTCAACGTAGCTCACATCGTGACATATGTGACATCCTCCTCTCTACAAAGCCAAAGCTCATCTAGCCCAGGGCCTTCCACAGCCACCTAGTCGTGTGAGCTGAAAGCTAGTGGTCTCCACGCGCAATGAAACTGTGGCTGGGCCACCCTGACGCCCCTTTCAAAGCATCGCAAGCTGCCTGGTCTCCTGCTGATGGAAAATGCAGCGTTTATCTTTGACCACATGATCTGCTATTTTTGATTGTCGGTAGTCTTTTCTAGAAATGCATGAGAATCACGGGCAAAGGAGTTGCTTAGTTGTCTGAGAAGCAGAAATCCCCAAAGTTGACCCAAAGCGATCATGATTCGGTGTCTCTTGAGCTTCTCAAGCACTACGCCATGCTACTATGTTTGCCATTGTCACTCGCATTGTATCAAATGATTCCTTCCACGCATTTTGGAGTGCTGTTTTGGCAACCTCCTTCCAACCCCAAGTCGGAGAGCCTTTGGCCAGGGTCAGCACCTTGCAAGTGTCGTCTTTGACCCAGCTCTGAGCAAAGGACAATAGGTCCTGAATATTTCGTGATCTTTGACACCTTATGATCTCTATTCGGCGGATTCTGGCATGCACAGGTATATGTACAGAAACCACCAGAGTGGCATATGGGTGGGCATCACTGGTGTCACAGCTACAGCGGCTATTGCCTCCCTGATTGTCGTTACGAAGGTTACATGGGTAGAGGACGCTACTAGGAGCAAAGGGCATCGCTACCAGGAGCAAGGATACTACTTACTAGGGGCTCCTGGCATCGCTACTAGGAACAAGAAGCTATTAGGGGCTCCTGGCATCGCTACTAGGAGCAAGATTAGGGGCTCCTGGCCGTACTACTACCCAATGGTGATGTGGGGATCTTGCGTGACCATCTCATCGAGTGCTAACCGAACACTGTCGAAGGTCCAAGATGCAAGCACGAAGAGAGGAACGAAGTGCCATGAGTGCCATAGCATGGGGCATTGGCAGAGAATCCGACGTGAAGTGCACACTAAGCCAACTTCTTGTCTTGTCCAAGAGGTGAAAGGTGCACCGAACCCCAAAACCAACTGGAGATAATGAATGGCCTCCCACCTAGCAAAAGGAACCTACTAGCGATGGCCTCCACCAACCTAAAAATTTTGAATGGCTAAATACTCTGAGCTGAAATGACTGAGCGGCGCACATCACAATGCTGCAATGTGCCAGGCAAGCTGATGCTGAGAGAACAAAGCCACGCAACAAACATAGACCTACATTCAACTCTGTCGTGCAGCGACATATACATGTATATATGTATTTTCATATATACATATATACACAGTACACACACACTTTTCGTCGCACAGGTAACTATTCAGTAAGCTCCCCGTCAAGCGGCACTGTCAGCTTCCGCGTCCACCAACAGTACCATGCAGCCTTGGAGAGGGGAAAGGTGGGGAAGGGCATGGGCAAGAGCGATGGTTATGAAGTATGGCAACTATGGCCGATCCCACTTCTCGTTATGTATTTCGAGCTTTTTGGGGTTGACAGGTCATCGCCACTTTGCAGTTGCTTCTTAACACCTGGAAAGTGATAGTCGGATAGTGCAATGTGTGAAGCACCTGGAAACCTGGGACACTTCACTCTACAAAGGGACGCTTCACACGGCTTCACTCTTCCCACCTGCATCACTGCAAATGCAGCACAAATCGTGCCAACAAAACAAACACCTCAGCACTGTCCCGCAACGGCCGCAACGGCATAAAATGTCATACAACATACGGACAATACAATTCCCTAAGCTTCTTGTTCCTAGTAGCTTCTTGTTACTACTAGTAAGGCACCTGTTACTAGTAGCGTGGCACTTGTTACTACTAGCGAAAAGTGCCTTGATTCATCTTGATTCCCTACAATTATATTGTGCATACACCATCCGATTGGTGGCGAAGACTTCATTCAACAAGGATGGCCTTGGCACCCCCAATGAGCGCCCCCTTGCTCTACAGATCTGCGGGTCCCGGCCAATCTGAAACCCACCATCCTCCATCATCCAGGTGACGGCATCTGCAAGAGGTCTTCACAACCACCCACATGTGTGAAAACCTAACTGAACAAGAATTCTGCCAGCTCTCTTGTCCCTTGATTCCACTGCCCCAATCAATTTGAATTATGGAAACGTCCAATTTGGGTCCATCCCTTAAGCATTACTAAGAGAAGCATGTTTCAGGCATTTGTTTAACATGTTAACATTCTCCAGTGCGGTTCAATGCTTTTTGGTGAAGAGATCACGCTTTTTTGATGCCTACTGAAAATGCCTTGGACTGCTTCTCGCAGTGAGAGCTTGTCGCACGTTGTGAATGGAAGGTGGTTGCGCCGGATTCAAGGTGAGGCCTAGCCGCCTAGCGGCCTACTAGAAGCTACTAGGGGCTCCAGGCCTTACTGCTAGGAACAAGAAGCTACTAGGGCCTCCAGGCCTTACTACTAGGAACAAGAAGCTACTAGGGCCTCCAGGCCTTACTACTAGGAACAAGGAGATACTAGGGGCTCCTGGCCTTACTACTAGGAGCAAGGACGCTACTAGGAGCAAAGGGCATCGCTACTAG